GATGGCACATACAGCGCCTGCGCGATTCTCCGGGAGCAGTTGGATGGCACATACAGCGCCTGCACGAGTCTCCGTGAGCAGCTGGAGCATCGTGCAGGCGCTAAGACGCATGCGTGAACTGCGCGCGTGCACGAGGACGCCGTTGGCCCCGTTTCAACCGAACCGGTTGGAACGGGATTAGCAACCCACCCCTGATACAGAGTATTCTATAGTTATGCATACACACACTTGCACACACATTGGGGTGCTATTGCAAGTGGGGAAACTCACCAGTTACCCTAAGACCAAGACAGGAGGTAAGCTAGATCTATCCTGTAAGGGTAGTGAGATAAATTGTGGACAGTGTGCCCTCTGAGGCAAAATGTTAGGTGCAACCATTTAAGTTGCTGTCAAATAACTGTTTCAGTCACTGAATGTAGAATTTACATGATCCAGGAGAAGGTTCAGCATGACCCAGGAGGAAATGGGACTTTCTAGATTTCTCTGGAACTTTCTGTTCCTGGATTGATTTGACAGATTTCTACTTCCTGCCTGAAACTTTAATTATGACTACTTGGGAGAATACTGATCTTAGCATTTCTAGTAAAACTAAAGGTTCATATTCAGGAAGAGAACTATAATACTTAAAAGCCACTTCATAATTTCAAAGGGATTTAAAAGTATAGGTTTCTCTGGATTAAACCGGAACACTTACTCCATTATTTTTATGGTCTTTTCCCGACATCAAAATGAATTATCTATGCTTCTTCAATAATTTATATGCAACAATTAGGGGGGAAAAAAACAGGGCAAAGCATGAAATGCACACAAAATGCTTTTCACGCCATTAAACATACTCAAAACTGGTTTGTTGTTAAATGACAATAGTTTGGTTTTAGATTACACCTCCCCAATGAAGCATGGGCCATTGAAGGTAATAGCAGTCGGGTAATGCAAATGTAATATATTTTAAAGTGCTTAGTATTTTATATAAACGACCGAGCTAGTTATTATACAAACACTGTACATTTCAAAATATTGTCATTTACGCTTTGTAGCCAAATTCTCACAATTAGTTCTCACTTAACATGCATCTGTACTTCAATCATAATTCTCTATTACTTACTCTTAATATATTAATAAAATATAGTATAGAAAAAACACAATTCAGTGAAGGACAATTCGCAGAGCAGGCTCAGTACTAAAAAATAAAATAAAACTGTGGTGAAATAGTGGAAACCCAAACCATATCATGTGTTGATACATTTTTAACAAGTGAAAATGGGCTAATATTTCCTATTGGGTTCAGATCTACAGGTATCTAAAAGAGCCGAGGTGGCGCAGTGGTTAAATGCAGCACTGCAGGCCACTTCAGCTGACTGCTAGTTCAGCAGTTCAGCGGTTCAAATCTCACCGGCT